CCCCTCTACTCTTCCATCTCTGTCCCTATGCGCCCCCCCGCCCGCCGCTGCCTCCCCATCCGCTTCGCCCAGCCTCAGTCACTCGCTCTTCTGTCTCCATCCGCCCCCCCACACTCTTCCATCCCTCCACTCCTCTGTCCACCCAGCCGGATACGCGCTGCCCTCCGTCCCCGTGCACTCTTCTGCTCCCGTCCATCCCCAGCTGCTCTTCTATCGCTTTCTCCAGCCCTGTATGCTTTTCCATCCATCGTTGTTATGCATCCCCCTTCTTCCCTCCACCCCTTCTACCTATCCATTCGCCTGCTTTATCCATCCGTCCTTATATGTTCTGTTATCACCATGCTTTTCCTTCCATCCACCCCTTCTGTCCATCTATCTTCTCTCCTATCCATCCCCATCTGCTCTTCCGTCCATCTCTCCCTCTACCCATTCTTCTGTCCATCCTTTGTACACTCTTGCATCCATTCCCTCTCCTATCTGTTCATCCCTATATATTCTTTCATCCATCCATCCCCATACACTTTCTTCCATCCAGAAGGTAGGATCCCGAATGACAGCCAGCATGGCTTCGTCACAGGCAGATCTTGCCATACCTATCTCATCTCCTTCTCTGACCAGGTAACTTGACACCTGGACACAAGAGAGCAGGTTGACATTGTATACCTCGATTTCCAAAAGGCCTTTGATCTGGTATCCCACAGTGTCCTCCAAGAAAATTGGAGGATTGTGGGCTTAACTCCAAGACAGTCAGGTGGGTGAGAAACTGGCTGCAGGATAGGACCCAGAGAGTCGTAGTGAACGGATCAGCGTCATCCTGGTGAGAAGTGGGCACCGGTGTCCCGCCAGGGTCGGTGCTCGGTCCAGTACTTTTCAACATTATTAACAATTTGGATGTGGGGTGAAGAGCTCACTGGCCAAGTTCAGGGACGACACCAAGTTACGGTGAAGCGTGGTCACACTTGAAGGTAGGCTACAGTTACAGGCAGATCTAGACAGGCTGGCAAGTTGGCAGACGGGAATCTGGTGAAATTGAACGTTGAGAAATGTCAAGTGTTCTACTTTGGGATGAGCAACCCCAACACACCTACGGGCTTGGTGGCGCCAAACTGACCAGCACCACAAATGAAAGGGACCTGGGGGTAATAACAGACCACAGGATGAACATGAGCCGGCAGTGCAATGCTGTAGCCAGTAGGGCAAATAATACTCTGGCGTGCATCAACCCACGCGTCTTCAGCAAAACCAGGGAGGCGATTCTGCTCTACTCAGCACTGGTGAGACCGCAGCTGGAGCGCTGCGTCCAGGTCTGGGCACCGCACTTCAACGAGGTCATGGACAAGCTTGAGACACTCCAGAGAAGAGCCGCCTGTATGATCAGAGTCTTACACGGCAAGTCATATGAGGAAAGGCTGAAGGATCTCGGACTCTTCTGCCAGAGGAAAAGAGATGGCTGAGAGGGGACCTAGTAGCAGGTTACGGCTACACTAGGGAATATATCAGGGGCTCGGTGAGTAACTGTTCACCAGCGCAGCTGAAGGGAAAACCAGGAGTAATGGCCACAAACTCCTGGAAGATTGATTCTGGCTCAACATCAAGAAAAACTTCACAGCTAGGGTGTCCAGACTGGAATAAGCTCCCTCCAGAGGTGGTGCAATCACCTACCCTGGACATCTTCAAGAGGAGACTGGATGGTCACCTTGGCGGCAGTCGCCTGACCCCCAGTTATCTTTCCTGCTTGGTGCAGGGGGACTGGACCCAATGATCTTGCAAGGTCCCTTCTGGCCTTCCAATCTATGAATCCATCCCTCCATCTCCATACACTTTCTTCCATCCTTCTATACAGCTGTTCCCACACACTCTCCCATCCCTCCCCCCACCAGAAGCCCCCAGGTAGCAGCTGTGCCCCGCCAGCTACACAGGAAGCCAACACCGCCCCCCTGCAAATGACCAATGCAGTCAGCTCTGGGGCAGGGCAGCTGGGCATTGGCCAAATGTAACATCACCCTGCCACCATTCTTTCCTCCCCCCTCCCCCAGCTGAGGGGAAGACTGGATCTGGACCCAGAGACCTCCTTATTCGCAGTGCTTCCCCCAACCCAGTGTGGGCTCTTCTGCCCTGGGAGTGTTATATTCAACCTGCTCCACCCCAGAGCTGGCTGCATCTCTGAGTTAAGCCATACTGCCTGCCTCCCGGGTAGGTGTTCTATGCAGCCCTCCCAGCTGCTCCACCCCAGAGCTGGCTGCATCTTCAGGGGCTAGGGTTCAACACCCCTCTGCCCCATCCTTCAACTCCTGGTTAGACCTAGTAGAGCTCATCCTCCCCGACCTGGACACCAGCAGAGGTTTCTCACTGGCCCCCAGCAGGCAGGAAGCAGCCCCGCAGAAGGGAGCAGGGCCTGGGCTCCAACCCAGAGCTGCGCATGGAGACCATCCTGCTCTTATGGTTGGGGGGGGGGGAAGGGTACTATTATATGCAGCTGGTTATGTGTTGTATGCAGCTATATTCCACTCCCAGAGCTGGCTGAATTGGGCAGCCTAGCCCAGGAGGGTGTTCTGTATCTCTGTTCCCCAGCTGCTCCACCCCAGAGCTGGCTGGATCTTGGAACCAAGGCATCTCTGCACAGCTGGTCTACCCCAAAGCTGGCTGCATCTCAGCCCTCCCTGCTCTCTGTTCTATGCTGCCGTTGCACTCCAGAGCAGCTGCCCCACCCCAGAGCTGGCTGCAATGCAGGCCTGGACCTATCCAACCCTGTGGATGTTCTATGCAGTTCCCAGATGCTCCACCACAGAGATGGCTGCATCTTGGCCCCAAGATCTCAGCAGAGCTGCTCCACTCAGAGCAGGATCTGATGTGTCTAAATCACCCTGGCCTCCAGCCAGGGTCTTCTGGGTTGGATCCTGGCCCCTTCCCCTGATCCAGCTGTTCTCAGCATCTCTCCTCCCCAGTCCAGCCCCCTTCCTGGAAACCAGAGGCCCACGTCACCTGCACCATCCGAGTCCCAACCGAAAGCAAAAGGAAATGGACCTGTGAGTCTGTGCCACATCTGATGCTTACGGTTCCCCCTGAGTGCGGACTCCCTTCTTGCCCCGTCTCGTGGTGGCAGGTCACTGAGGTACGTGGGCATGCGAGAGACCAGAGCCAGTGGGGAGAGGGTGGAGAGGAGCAGCAAGAGAAAACTGTTTCTCTGTTACGAAAGCCCAAAAGCCAGGGAAACCCTGAGCCAGTGCCTCAATCACCCCCAACAGTCTCCCCAGGATGCAGGCCTAGATCAACCTTCATCCACCCTCTCCAGCACTGGAGGTGTCCAAGGAGCCCACAAACCTAGGTGTAGAGCTAGATTGGCCCCCAGGGCCTATCCAGCCTCTCCTGGACTGGAGGTGTCCACGGAGAGCCCACAACCCCCCCTAGACACAGGCCTAAAATCGACCCCCAGGATTTAGAGGTGTTCACGGGAAGCCCACAAACCCCCTAGACACAGGTCTAGATAGACCCCCAGCACCTAGAGATTCATAGATGCTCATGGAGAGCCCACAAACCCTCTAGATGCAGGCCTGGATCGACCCCTAGTGGCTGTCCACCCTTGTTAATCATTAATGGGGCCAACTAAAAGGGACCTGTCCCCAAGGGTGTTTTATGCACCCGTGCCACCCCAGAGCTGGGCACAGCAGGGCATCTTCCACGCAGCTGTTCCCCCTCCCCTGCTCCACCCCAGAGCCTGGCCCGAGGGCCGTTCTAGGAAGCTGCCACCACCACAGAGCTGGGCGCATCATAGCCAGGAAGCACCAGCGTGGGAGGAGCGCGTGGCAGGAAGCTGGGAGGGTAGAGGGGGGCCATGATTACCTGACAGACATGCACGGACGGAGGGGTGCTGCATGGCTGGAGATAGTAGCGGTGGTACAGGGGTGGGGCGCTGGGAAGGGGGTGAAATAGGGGAAATGATGGAGAAGAGGAAAGAGAGAGAGGGCTGTGGGTTATGGATGGAGAGGGATGGATAAATTGGTAGGTGGACGGACAAACGAGCAGGCAGATGGACGGGGATAGACAGATGGATAGCTAAGACGTGGATATATAGGTGAATAAATGGATGGATGGATAAATAGATGGACAGACAAACAGATGGATGGATGGATACACAGAATAGGTGGAGAGATGGATAGGTAGGTAAGATGAATAGATGGGATGAATGGATGGATAAAAGAAGAAATGGATAGCTGGAAAGATGGATAGCTGAGATGGATGGATGGATACACAGACAGAATAGGTGGAGAGATGGATAGATAAATAAGGTGGAGAGATGAGATGGCTATAGAAATGGATAGACAGATGGATGGACGATAGATGAATAGGTGAGTAACCAGAGAGGTGGGCAGACAGATGGATAGCTAAGACAGACAAATGAAGAGATGGAAATACAGATAGATGGATGGATTTATAAAGGGTCTATTTGGCGATGGATGGATGGATGCACAGACAGACAGAGAGATGGACAGACAAATGGATAAGACGGATGGTTGAAGAGATGGACGGATGGAGATGAGTGGATGGATGTGGATGGACAGGCAGATAGAAGGATGTGTGTGTGCATGGGGGAGGGAGGTTGCTGGATCCCTGCTCTCCCATCCGCCCCCCCCTCAATGCACCCAACACCTCTGCCCCCTTGAACTTGACCTCCCGGGGACCTGAGGGCCCTGCCCCTCTCCCCCCTCCTCAAGACACAGGTTCGAACCTCCCCCAGACAGTGCTGTGCCCCCTGGGAGGCAGACAATGCCCTTCGCCTGTCCTGGCGTGGGGCTGATCCCTGCCTGACCTCCCTCCCCACAGCCAGATGTCGCTGCTGCCCGTAGCCAAGCAGCCAACACCACAGACGCGATCGGCACAGTGCCGTGCCGAGGACTTCTGGGACAAAAAGCAGCGCAAGTGCAAGAGTTGTGCAAAGCAGTATGCACGCTACCTGCCCTTGATCGGTGAGGGGAGGCCGGGGGGAAGTGAGGGCATATATACCCTCCATATACCACCCCCATATCCCAGTCCCCCTTTGCATTAGCCATATAACCCATATACCCTCCATATGATATCGTATACTCCCTATATACCAACCGTATACCTTCTATAAACTACCCCCATATACCCCACATATCCCAGCCACATATCCCCATATACTACCCTGGTATAGCAGCCCATCATGCATTAGCCATAAACCCCCTACATACAAGCCCCCATAACATCAACCATATACTCCCCTATCCCAACCTTCATATATGCTCCATATACTCTATATACCCTCATACCCTATACATATTACCTATGTACCAGTCTCACCATACATCTATACCACCATATCCCAGCCCCCATATATCAGCCATATACCCCATCCCAGACCCTATAGTCCATATGCTACCCCATATACCAGCCCTCACATACCCCATACACCTGTTCTATATCCCAGCCCCACTGTACATCAGCTCTATACCCCCCATACCCCAGCCCTAAACCCACCACCCTATGTCCTATGGACCTTGGGGGGGGCTGTGGTGTGGGGGCTCAGGGGGGTCAGCCATCCTACCCCCACTCTCCTCCCACCCCCCGCAGGCCACGAGTTCAACGTGAACTGTGGGCACCGGGACGGGGGGGGCAGGCACATGCCCCCAACCCTGTACATCAGCTCTATACCCCCCATACCCCAGCCCTAAACCCACCACCCTATGTCCTATGGACCTTGGGGGGGGCTGTGGTGTGGGGGCTCAGGGGGGTCAGCCATCCTACCCCCACTCTCCTCCCACCCCCCGCAGGCCACGAGTTCAACGTGAACTGTGGGCACCGGGACGGGGGGGGCAGGCACATGCCCCCAACCCGGCCCTGCCCCGCAGGCACCTCCAATGATGGGAGCTTCCTCTGGTGCCAGCCCAGGTGAGGGAGGTCCTGGGGCAAGAGAGGGTACTGGGGGGG